CTGCAGACAACTCCTACAGATGCCACCAGACTGCTGAAGGTCTCTGGGTCAAGAACACCCCCGTGCATGCTTTTACTGACACAGCCATAGAATCACAGAATCCTAGGACTGGAAGGGACCTCGAGGTCATCAAGTCCAGTTCCCTGCCCTCGCCGCAGGACCAAGCATCATCTAGTATTTTAGCTCATCCCTGCCAGATGCCTTTTAGGTACTTGAACTAACACACACTCAGCATGGAAATTAGGCAGGCTGGGTCCCTCTCCTCATATCCCAAGCACAGGTCTGCAAGCTGCTTTGGAGCGATCATTTGATGCTGAATGAAGGCCTCTGAACCCAGCTGGAGGGTGTGGAGGTGAATGCCAGGGTTCTGCAGTCTGGAACACAACACAAACTGCCATGCTTTTCTAGTCCTTAAGGCTTCATGTGCACATACAAGTTTAAAGTGCAGCAGTGTTTTCATACCCCCAAGCCAGCAAATGACCGCATAGTTGCTACTGTAGATTGGTAGACTTTTAGTGTCAGAAAGGCCTATGAGGTCATCTAGTCTGACCCTTTCTGTAACACAGGCCACAGATAGGGTTGCCAGATGGTTTAACCAAAAATAACGAACACCCCCCGCCCCCGTAAAAAAACCTCACACCCGGGAAAAAATTCTGTTGAGGAGGAGAAAAAGAGGACGAGACCAAAAAAAAAAAAAAGCCACCCCCAAGAGTTAAGCAACAAAAAAAAAAATTAATACACCATGGCCCCTTTAAGTGCATGCAGAGTCAGAACAGGGATAAGACAAGGGGAAAGGTTGAGCACTAAGACCCAGGGAAGGCATTGCTTCCCTTTCAGGTCTTTAGGCTTTTTGCCGGTGGCCATCTTGTTTTCTTGGTCAAGCCTAAAAGGCAGCTTCCCTGCGGAACCAGGTAAGCAGGGGGTCTGAGGGTGGGAGCTGGACCCCGTAGCTGAATTTGTCATAGGGTTGCCAGGCGTCTGGTATTTTTGCCTCTTGGCAGGGGGAAAAAAACCCAGAAAATACCGGATATTTTAGGAGTCCGGTATTTTCTGAATTTTTTTTTTTTGTTTAAACCAGACATGAGGCAAAAATACCAGACTGTCCAGGTCAATACCTGACACCTGGCAACCCTAGCCACAGAACTACATCCCTTTATTGCTGCACTGAGCTGCATAGCTTGTGTTTGACTAAATCATCTTGGATAAAGGCCTCTAGTCCTGACTCAGCAACTACCTAAATTCTTGCTGCCCTTGGTAGTTTGTGACCCTTTGCACCAGCTTTACATAGGGTTGCATGGAATATTGCCACGCCTCATTTGCATAATTAATGAGGCTCTTGCACAAGAGGTTTTTGCACAAAAAGGAGCCATCTACACAGCTCCTTTTTGCGCAAAAACCTCTTCTTGCACAAGTGCTGTTCTTCCTAGAAAAAAAAAATGCGGAAAAGAGCTCTTGCACAAGAGGGGGTTTTGCGCAAAAAGGAGCCGTCTACACAGCTCCTTTTTGCACAAAAGCCTCTTGAGCAAAAATGGAGCCTCAATTATGCAAATGAGTTGCAGCGATATTCCATGCATTGCCTCATTTGCATATTTTTTGCGCAAAACAGGGGTAGTGTAGACATAGCCTTAGAGTTTAGTCAGGGGAGCCAACAGCCTCAGTGGGCCCCTGAACAAGGCGAAGGGGAGGCTGGCAGTGTTCCCTGTAAGCTGCACACTCGTGCGGCCACTCAGGAGGGACTCCACTGCCACCCAGCTGATTAGCAGAGAGCCCATAGCTAGCTTTTGTTTTTCTACTGGTGGTGCACATTCACACATGCCTCTCTATGTATTAAAAAAATATTCCGCCCACAGATGGAAAAGATTAGAGGGAATATTGGAGGGGGGGGGACCTCTGTTGGAAGTGCCACCTGGAGCATTCTGATATTCCCCCCCTCCCCCAAGCTCTCAGCCATCCAAAGTACTGCACTGTGCTCCAGCAGTGATTTAAAGAGCCTGGGGCTCTGGCAGTGGCAGTTGGGAGCCCTGGGCCCTTCTGAATCACCAGGCTCTGGGGAAACTGCCCCCTTTGCTTCCACCCCTCCTGTCAGCAGGCCTGAGTTTAGTAGTATCCACAAGAGGGCTCGGCTCCTTACCTTAGCTATCCTTGATGGCTTCCTATGCATTCTGATTGACATCTGGCTCTCTTCCTGATGGGATGTGGAGGCAGAATTGCTTCCCTCCTCTCTTCCCTATGGAGAAGAGTTTGGGAGAATTCAGCTACTAGTTTTTTTCCTGTCACCCTAGCTCTTCTTTTGGTTTGTTTTCCCCTTTTCTGTCTCTGAGATTTTTCTCTCTCTGAGCAGGTGCTAGGATGGTGAGTGAGAATGAAGAGCAGAATCCTCTGCAGGAAGATGCTGAGCAAGTGGAAACACATAAGGGATTATCGCAAGGATCCAACTGGAATGTGTCCAGGCACCACGTGCAGCGAAAAGCCTGTGAGAGTCAGCTAAATCTAGCAAGGGAGCAGAGAAAGCAGCCCAGGAAGAAAGTGGGTAAATCCATTTATGGTCACCAGGACTTCAAGGAAACCACATCCCAGCAAAGAAAACCTTCAAGAGAAGAGAAAAGCACACATACTGAGTACGGGGAAAACGTCACGCTGAACTCCACTCTTATTAGACATCAGAGGATCCACACAGGAGAGAACGTCTATGAATGCTCAGAATGCGGAAAACAGTTCAGTGAGACATCAAACCTTATTAAACATCAATCATGCCACTCAAGAGAAAAACCTTATGAATGCTGGGAGTGCAGGAAAACCTTCACTTGGAACTCAACCCTCATTAGACATCAGAAGATCCACACAGGGGAGAGACCTTATGATTGTGGTGAGTGTGGGAAAGGCTTCACTTTCAAATCAGACCTTAATAAACATCAGAGGATCCATACTGGGGAGCGCCCCTATGAGTGCTCTGAGTGTGCAAGAAAGTTCACTTGGAGCTCAGCGCTTATTAACCATCAGAGAATCCACACAGGAGAGCGACCCTTTGCATGCACCGAGTGCGGGAAAACCTTCCTTCAGAGCTCAGGGCTTATTCATCATCAGAGGATCCACTCAAGAGAGTGCCCCTATGAGTGCTGTGATTGCAGAAAACAGTTCAGTCATAAATCCAAACTTATTAAACACCAGAGAAGCCACAGAAGGGAGAGACCCTATGAATGCTGGGAGTGTAGGAAAAGCTTCACTCGAAGCGCTTCCCTTATTAGACATCATAGGATCCACACAGGAGAGAGACCCTATGAATGCAGTGAGTGCAGGAAAAGCTTCACTTTCAAATCTGACCTTAATAAACATCAGAGAATCCATACTGGAGATCGTCCCTACAAATGCTGTGAGTGTGGGAAAAAATTTACTTGGAGCTCAGCGCTTATTAGCCATCAGAGAATCCACACAGGAGAGCGACCTTTTGCATGCACTGAGTGTGGGAAAACCTTCCTTCAGAGCTCAGGGCTTATTAATCATCAGAAGATTCACACAAGAGCATGCCCCTATGAGTGCTCTGATTGCAAGAAACAGTTCAGTCAGAAATCCAAACTTATTCAACACCAGAGAACCCACATGAGAGAGACACCCTATGAATGCTGTGAGTGCAGGAAAAGCTTCAGTCAGAGCTCATCTCTTATTAGACATCAGAAGATCCACACAGGGGAAAAACCCTATGAATGCTGTGAATGCAGGAAAGGCTTCACTTTCAAATCTGACCTTAATAAACATCAGAGACTCCATACTGGAGACTGTCCATATGAATGCTCTGAGTGTGGAAGAAAGTTCACGTGGAGTTCAGGGCTTATCAATCATCAGAGGATCCACACTGGAGAGAGACCCTATGAATGCTGTGAGTGTGGGAAAAGCTTCAGACAGAGCACTTCACTTATTAGACATCAGAGGATCCACACAGATAAATGCCTGATGAATGCTGGGAGTGAGTAAGTACAGCCGGTCCCCGACTTACAAACAAGTTACATTCCAAGCACTTGGTCATAACTCAATGTGTTCGTAAGTCGGACCCCATTCATTTCAATGGGACTGCGCTGTTCATAAGCGCAGATCACTGTTCGGAAGTCTGGGCCACGCTTAATGGGAGGCTGGTCATAAGAGCAGTTGGTCATACGTTGATGCGTTTGTAAGTCAGGACCGGCTGTAGTTTCATCAGGAGCTCACCCCTTAAAAGACACAAGGGTCTTCACAGGAGAGAAACACTGTAAAAGCTTTATGTAGGGCAGAAAAAATATTTTTAAAAGACATTTGCTAATTCCCACACAGTGACTTTTTATGGCTGTTTGCACCATGTGCTCTCAACTCTCCTGGATGAGTTGCCCTGTCTTGCCACTTGCCTTTACTTTGGGTTGAATCTTAGGATCCTTTCTATCAACTCTTTTGTTTTGTGACTCATGAGAGTGTGTATTTCCAGTGCCAGGAATGTCCATCAGCCCAGGCGGGGGAAATCAGGGTGACTGCAAACTATCGATACTGAACTAAAATCAACCTGAGCTTTGTCTCTAAAAATTTCCATGGAGTTGGCCAGCTAGAGGTAGCTATCCCATTGTAAACACCCAGGCTACGTCTACACTGGCATGATTTTCCGGAAATGCTTAAAACGGAACAGTTTTCCGTTATAAGTATTTCCGGAAAAAGCACATCTACATTGGCAGGATGCTTTTCCGGAAAAGCACTTTTTCCGGAAAAGCGTCCATGCCAATGTAGACGTGCTTTTCTGCAAAAAAGCCCTGATCGTCATTTTTGCGATTGGGGCTTTTTTGTGCAAAAGAAATCTGTGCTGTCTACACTGGCCCTTTTCCGGAACAGTTTTCTGGAAAAGGACTTTTGCCCGAACGGGAGCAGCATAGTTTTTCCGGAAAAGCACTGATGATTTTACAGTAGATCGTCAATGCTTTTCCGGAAATTCAAGGGGCCAGTGTAGACAGCAAGTTATTCCGGAAAAGCGGCTGATTTTCCGGAATAAGTGGCCAGTGAAGACACAGCCCCAGTGATATTTGCAGTGCTGGCATAGCCCAGGCACGACAGTTGGGGTTAGCTAGCAGGTTCCCCTTTGAGCCTAACAAACACCTATATTTTTCCATCTAGACAAACCCTGAGCATCGCATTTGTACTATTATCTCACTAGCAGAGCAGTTGTTAGTTTCCAAGCTTCCCCTTTGGTGACAGATTTTGTCTCATTCCTGGTCACTCTCATGCTGGTCCAGATTGTGTTGGACAGCAAGTTCTTTGGAGTTTCTTTACCATTTTCCTTATTACTATATATTTTAGAGAGTTTATCTATTTTGATCAAGAATTCCTCCTAAACTGAAAGAGCTACGACCATCAAATTTTGTATACAGATTCCTCTGCTCATAACTTAAAGCAACATAAGGGCTTGGTTGTGCCAGGAAAACGGATAAGCCTGAAATGGGATTGCTTCTCATCAAACCAAACAGAAGAGACAATCATCAAATCAAGTAGGGTCCTCATCATTAATATAACTGAGTGAATATTAAAAGAGACTGAACCAAGATGAGCTAGAAAAATAGGGTGAACCAGCAATAGGATTACTTCTCAATAAACCTTAAAGAAAAGAGATAAAACAGAAATTTGAAGAGTGCTATTTTAGCACACCTACATCAATACTTAAAGTTTGAAAATGAGAAGACAATGTTATTGGAAACCAAATTGATTATACCTTTTTTGTTAAAACTTAGCAAATGAGGAGAGCTTATAGGAATGAAGGAGAAAACACTTGATGGAATTCCCATTTTAAAACATTACTAAAATTATCTTCATAAAAACATGACTATTTTTGACAAATGCAGTCATTTCAATAAAGCATGTATACTTTCCTTTTAATTTAAAAAAAATTCAGTTAAGGACCCAAGCAATGCAGGGTAAATCTAGTTTAAAATATATTCAGACATATTATGCAGGAGTGGGTCAAATGTATCATTCCGGCCTCCATGACACTGGAAGGAAATGGGGTGAATCAGGGGTATGCACTCATTCCTCATCACCCTCACTCTGCCTGCTGACTCAGCCACCATAGAGTTTATCCACCTTTAGTGTTCCTCTCCGACCCTCTCCAAAGAGCCACTGTGTGTAATAATATTTTGATCTTAAATTCGACTCATTAGGGCTGGAGATGGAAGTGTCACAGACATGAATGAGGAATTCCAGTGGTCAAAACACAGTGCGATCATTCTACCTTTTAATTCCCATTTCCTTCTCTTGGCAAAAGAATTTCTGGACTTTTTCCTGCAGAACTGGGATTGTTTGCAGGTGAGAAGGTTAGCAGTTGCCCATTTTCTTAGAAATAACATGGTTCACTAAAGTGCCATTGAGTGAAGCAGGTTAATAGAATCAGGGCTGGAAGAGACCTCAGGAGGTCATCGAGTCCAGCCCCTTGCCCAAATAGGACCAATCCCAACTAAATCAACCCGGCCAGGGCTTTGTCAAGCCAGGACTTAAAAACCTCTAGGGATGGAGACTCCATCAGCTCCCTAGCTAACCCATTCCAGTACTTCACCACTCCCCCAGTGAAATAGTTTTTCCTAATATCCAACCTAGACCTCCCCCAGTGTAACTTGAGACCATTGCTCCTTGTTCTGCCGTCCATCACTACTGAGAACAGCCTCTCTCCCCATCCTCTTTGGAACCTCCCTTCAGGAAGTTGAAGGCTGCTATCAAATCCCTCCTCACTCTTCTCTTCTCTAGACTAAATAAGCCCAAAACGCTCAGCCTCTCTTCGTAGGTCATATGCTCCAGCCCTCTAATCATTTTGGTTGCCCTCTGTGCAGAATAAAGGGGAATAATCACTTTTCTAGATCTGCTGGCAATGCTCTTTCTAATGCACCCTTCTTGACTACAAGGGCACAGTGTTGACTCATATCCAGCTTCTCATCCACTGTAACCCCCAGGTCCTTTTCTGCTGAACTGCTACCTGGCCTGTTGGTCTCCAGCCTGTAACAATGCTTGGGATTCTTCTGTTCCAAGGGCAGGACTCTACACTTCTCTTGTGAACCTCATCAGATTTCTTTTGGCACAATCCTGTAATCTGTCTAGGTTACACTGGACCCTATCCCTGCCCTCCAACGTATCTCTCTCTTCCCCCAGCTTAGTGTTATCTGCAAGTTTGCTGGAGGTGCAATCCATCACCTCATCCAGATCATTAATAAAGATGTTGAACAAAACTGGCCCTAG